CAATCACACTTAATTTAATTAACACGACTAGACAAAGAACAGAAGACGAAAACAGACTAGTAGCAACGGCTATTTATAGATCGACTATATGGCAAATTAGGAATAAAGTCAGATATTTTTTCACAAAATACACGGACATCGAGTTAAAAGAAATATTTCAAGCAAAGCTAAAACATAGACTGGGAACTCTCACTTAAATGAGAAAAAAAGAAATATACAGGAAAGAAATAAAGTATTAATTTTAATTTAGACAGTCTCAAGCCAAACATCACTCGATCAGCCCCCAAGTAAATTAACATTAGAACAGTCTTCTGTTTCCCGGGTTTTAAAATGCACAACCTGAATGGTAGAGAGAGATACCCACCTCAACTCCCCCCCCCAACACACACACACACTCCCCCCCCCCTCCCCCCCCCCCCACTCAACCGGACTGGCGGACATGTCAAGGTAGCGTGCCCTCATTGCCAAGGGTCAATTTTATGTCATGGAAAGTTTTGGAATGATAGATCAGTATGTGATTACAGAGACACTTCTTCCATGGTCGTTTCTATTTCTGTCCATGGGTGGCTACAGTGTGAACTTTTGACTCCGCAGCACACTAAACTAAGCAGTGAAGAGAAACCTAGTTTGCACACCTTATTTTAATCTAGTTCTTATGCCATTTTATTTTTTCACTTTGATTATTATATATGCAATTGATGTTCATTGTTCATGTCTTTGATGCTGTGTAAAATCTATCAAATGTATTATTATTACTGATTTAAATGTTTAAAACAATTGAATTAATAAAAATTAAAATTAAAAAAATCTTCCCCCTCCTCTCTCCCCCTCTATCCACTTTACCCTCAGACATGATAACCCCACAATCCCTTTAACTGTTCCAACGACCCCACCACCCACCGCAACATCAATATCCAGAACTTATTTAAAGTTCTAAATCTTGTCTCTTTCCCCTCATCTTTCACACTGCAACCTTTTGAAAACTCAATGCGACCACTACAACACCCTTTCAACTAGTCAACTTAAGTTGTTTCCCTACATAGAAAATGCTTCACTGTCCCATTGACCCTCTCTGAAAAATTTCCTTTCCTCTCCCCACCCAGACTTCTGACACTTTCATTTGACCTTCACCCCTTTTACTGTCATCCTTTGCAATTTTTTTATAATCAAATACATGACATCATGTAAATATTCATTACGTACATTTGCAAAACCTTTCGTTTTCATTTGGTGTTCAAAATTATGTTAAAAAATTTGATGTTGATGTACTTGTTTTAATTGCAAATAAAAGTAATTAATATATATATATATATATATATATATATATATATATATATATATATATATATATATATATATATATATATATATATATATACCATAATATTTTCATTTTTCACTCACTCAAAATCCTCCTTTTAAAAAGCAGAATTAAAGATACAAAGACCTGACGTTATCTTAACAATTTATTTTTTTGACATGGCAGATGATAGAGAAATTCTAAGAGAATTGTGGGAAGGAAAAATACCAGTTTGTTTTCAACTTGCCCAAGAGGAAGTTTACACATTTGGTCAGCCTGACCCTTTTTTTCTATTGGTGCCCAGACTGAGCTACTTCCCATTGGTGACAGACAAAGTCTTGAGGTACATGGTCATGTACATCGAACCTGACAGCCACGGAGAAATGTGGCTGGAGTATGATGGCCAACCTTTGAAATGGCACTATCCAATTGGTTTATTAATTGATTTGTATGGTAATCAAAATGAGTTACCATGGAAACTTACTGTACACTTTAAGAATTTCCCTGAGGAAGAGTTACTGCACTGTCTGGGTAAAGAAGCTGTGGAGTCTCACTTATGTCTGTTGTCAAAGAAGCTGATGCACTCAAGCACAGAGGGCAGGCTATAAATAGCATGCAGAAGAAAGATCATAAAGCCTTGTGGACAGGATTGATGAATGATAAATTTGATCAGTTTTGGTCTGTCAACAAGAAACTAATGGAGAACAGTGGAGAAGAGGATTTCAAATCTGTCCCTTTTAGAATATACCAGGTGGACAAGATCCCTATACAAAAGCTATTTAAACCTGTAGATGACAACGGTGAATTCCTGACTCTCAATAGTTTATTGAAGTCTGCCTTGCCTGACTTGGTTGAATCAGGGGAATTTTCCAACTATCGTGTGATAACTCAAGGCATTGACCCCCCCCCCCCTGGAGACACCTGTGTCATGGATGAGTGAACACCTGAGTTACCCTGACAACTTTCTCCATATGATTTTAGTTTCAAGGACAGAAATTGAGAGCTAGTAATGTTTCGATGTAGTGTGTGACAGATTGTGTTTTAATGAATGAGAGAATTTAGAAAAATACTGGTGGGTGTATGAAACATTGATGAACATTTGTTATATGAAACATGAACATTTTATTTCCTTCAAATCAATGTAACTACTTTAGTCTGTATCATAATAAACCAAAGTTTATACTTGCAATGTTAAATATATATATATATATATATATATATATATATATATATATATATATATATATATATATATATATATATATATATATATATATATATATATAATATCAGACAGCAATTAACGTACTGCATTTGTAAGTAGAGTTTAGTCCCACATTGTTATTGCTTAATTTCCAATCAATCAAGAAGATAGACGTCATAGAAGTAAAATAATTTCTCTTCAAAACAAGATGGACGTTTATGATTGTTCCACCAGACTGGCCAGTGAATGGAGATCGCCAAATTAGTTTGTTCTAGTAGTTTAATGACAATGCAATTTTAAAATTAACGATGATTGAATATTTTGTTCAAGTAATTTAAGGTCAATATATATTCAAACTTAACAATGATTGAATATTTTGTTCAAGTAATTTAAGGTCAATATATTTTCAAACTTAACGATGATGGAATAGTTTTTCTAGTAATTTAATGTCAATAAAATTTTAAACTTAACGATGATAGAATATTTTATTCTAGTTGTTTAATGTCAATATATTTTTAAACTTAACGTTGATGGAGCATTTTATTTGTTCACTAAAACCCATGCCAATAACAATTAAAAAAAAAAAAGTAAAGCGTTCCAGTTTTTATTAACGTAATAGAATATGTTCTTATTTTTTAAAGATCCTAGCTGTTAAAAAAGTAATTTCAAATAGAAAGGTTTTAGTACCATGGTTAAAAATAATTACACCACACCTGTGGCACAAGACTGTAAAATTATTGATTCTGCAATATTACATTAAAATATTAATTAGTTCACATGACAATGAAATTGGCATTTTTTTTACGCCCATTGGTATAACGTATACGCCAGACATTGAAATCGATTCGAAATAATTATTAGCCATTATTAATATATATATATATATATATATATATATATATATATATATATATATATATATATATATATATATATATATATATATATATATATATATATATATATATTCTGGTGGCTCAGAAATTGTTTTTGCGTGGTGGCCCTTTTTTCTAGTTCGGCCACTGGATAGTTCGTAGTGATTTTTTCTCATTGCCAACGGACGAGCATACAGTTGATTTAGAACACCATGTTCCGTTCCTAGCTTGTAGAAAGCGACCTCAAAGCTCATGACTACTGCAATGACGCCTCAGGCATCACCGCGACCTCTGTCAACATCTGGTATACGGATGCGAACATTATCTCCCACTTCAGCTTGTTTAAAATTTGTATCTGATTTTGTGAGCATCTTTGCACATTGAGTTTGCAAGCTGGTATGAGCTGCTAACCTGTTGTCTATGATTTCCTGTTTATTGTGACATAATCTGCAAGTGATGTTTTCTCCCTACCCTTCGTCTGATTCATTGGCTATTCCGCATATTGCATGGATATAGTTGCGACAGGATCCACAAGAATGGGCTGCACTACAATATTATTTACAAACTACACAGAATCTGTTGGCCATATTTTCGTCACGCAACTGGTCAGGACGTTCCGCCATGGCAGCAAATGTGTTAGCCGAGGATGTCGTTGCATTTATGGCAACCTCCACTTCTTGTTCAATGTTCTCAAGATTTTCCCTAGTAACTAAATTGTTGAGAGCCTCTCTTGGTAGATTTGAAGTGTTAAGTGTCCAAACAAGGCTTCGTATGGCGATTGTTGGATCGCTTGATGAAGAGAACGGTGTTTCATAAATTGAATAAATTTGAGACTCACAGCCCAATGAGCTAATTCATTTGTCGGCATCCATGTCATCAGCATATTTTGAAAATCTTGGTTGGCACGTTCTTCTGAACCTTGGCTTTGGCTATGCCTTGGTTTTCTTTGAACTAGTTTAAGTTCAGAATATTTTGGCAGTCATCTGGTATGCCTGTCTCTTGGTCTGACGGCCCTCTTAGTCCATGTCGCATTGCATACAAATAAGCGCTAAACAATACGTTACTCACAATGAAATGCACCCAGAATAATGAAAATGCGATCACAACTTAGTCTAGATAGGACATTAGCCAGGACATCCCGGCCAGTGCGCGCATTGGCCGGCCAATGTACGAAATACGCTCTTAATGCTAAGCTCTTCGGGTTTTGTCCAAGAGAGCCGGCCAATGCGCACATTTGCCGGCCAATGCACGCTTTGGGCTTTGACGGTAACATATACATAAAAGACTGAATAATAAGGCTATTAGTATTTTTGGTAGCAAAAACGGATCACCTATTTAGTAATAATAATCAATGTAAGTAGGCTGAATTCACGAAGTAGAAATAATTACTATGCACGTGATTCAAGAGAGTGTGACGTAATAAATTTCGACTTAAAAACGTGCCCAATGGTACCGATACGACCCTCTGGATGTACCCAATACACAACGACTGATAGCAGTAGGATAAATGTACCTATGCGCCTATGCTATGCGCTAAATCAGTATGTCGCGAAAACGTGACTGTGAGCGTTAAGGGGTTAAATAAACGATCAGGGTTGTGGTATAAATAGAGAGGAAACTCCAGGACCTCAGTATAACAGCTACCTATTCTACTTGAGACGTAAAAGAGCTAGACCATTCAGGTAAGATTTTTAAAAATCTACTGATGGCTTGTTAAACTTGATTTTTTTTAAAAAACATCAACATTTTCGAAAACAAATAACTGAGAGAGTACGAAAGATTTTCAGATATCATCAATTATCAGTTATAATTTTGATAATTTTTTTCTAGAAAATTTAGAAGTTAAAGTTTTAAAAATTCCAAATCTTGCAGACATCAACAACGAAAGTTGTACTCATCCTGTTGCTACTCTCCGTGTGCGGTGCCAATCAGGCATCGGCCCAAAGGCCTACACCTACCTGCAACCGCTTCGGAATGGTGAGTATGTTAGTACTACACTTGTAGAAAGTCGAGAATATGTTTTAGTACTCTTTATATAAAAAAAAAACGTGTATATCCTTTAGTACTACTCTTTATGTAAAAAAATGTGTATATACCGTTCAGTAAGTCAGACGATCTCTACTTCAACTGTCTTGTTCTAAAAGGGTCATTTTTACATTTAAAATACCACCCACCTTTACGCTAATATCCTTTACACAACACCCTTGAAAATTAAAGAACTTAAATTCAACTCCATTATTTTTCTGAATAAAAATATTTTTTTTTATCCTTTTACTTACGAAACGTTCCTTCATTCTGTTCATTTTATCCTCAGACGTATAATGTAGGCGATGTAGTTCCCTACGCCCCTTTCTTTAAATGCACTTGTCAATATCATTGGCGATTACATTTATCATGTGTTCAGTGTTCAACCTATAACTGTGATTAGTGGATGAGTTACCTGCTACTGATGAGTTATAAAAGTATGCCTAATAAAGGATTTATATACCCTATATCAGTTTTGTTTGTTTCATAAAGGAGAAATCCACCTTAGATTTGTTTTATATGTTTGTCTGATAAAGGGAAAATCTACTCTATATCTTTTTTATATCTTTGTCTAATAAAGGAGTTATCTACTTTATATCTGTTTAATATCTTTGTCTTAAAAAAGGAGTTATATACCTTAGATGTGTGTATGTAATGAGGCGAGCTATCTAACCCATAAGTGTTAAAAATGTATTTTATAGATGTGATATATACATTTAAAACACTTATGGTAATTACATTTTTTTATTTCAATTAGTACAAAAGTGTGCTAGTTATTTTATTTTAAAAATGTAACGTATGCTAAAAAAGCGCCGCCATCCTCAATTTGTAAACGTTGATTGCGCATTTAACACTCTGTACCCTGAAATAGTTTTCGTTTCGATGTCACACAATTGATTTCTGTAAAGCGTATAATCGATTTCTCTTTCTTAAATTTAGATTATGTTTAATTAATAACGCTGCTCAAAATGAGCTTTTTAATTTGTTCCACCCCGTTGGCGCCCTACCCCTAGGCCCCGCGCCAGGGGCGGTCGCCCACCCGCCCTGCCCTCGTTACGTCTATTCTTAGAACTTCTGACTGTAGTTTGATGATGTAGTTGAAGTTAAAGGCAATGTCCACTGCGCCAGGTGACTTGTTAATGTTCTCTCTCTCTCTCTACCTCCCTCTCTCTCTTTATCTCTCTTTCTCTCTCTATTCTCATTACCGGCTCAAGCTTTTTCTCAGTCGCCAAACAGACTGTTTCTCTCGGACTTTTTCCCCCGTGGGGGGGGGGGGGGAACTAGAGAGAGAAGGGGGGATGCGGACACTGGTAAAATGTTCACTTTCTATATAAATTATATTTCGTTCGGGGTGGGGGTCGGGGGCGATAGACGTTCTTCAGGGCGCCCCCCCCCTCCTTTACCTGAAGAGATGCCTGAACATCTTACATTTTCTCATCCACCTGGATGGGACCTGAGGGCGCGGGACGGTCTTTGGTCTCTGGCTCATACTTTTTTTTTTGTAGGCGTGCTTGTTAGTGTTAAGCTTGAGCACAGGCGTAGCGATGGGAGGTCGAGTGGGGCGGCCAACCCCGGGCGCCAAAACGGGGTAGGAAAAAACAAATTCTCATTTCGAGCTGCATTACTGAATTTGTACTTAGCTAAGATTAAGTCTGCATGGTTTAACAGACTGATATAAATGTTTTCTGCATTAATAGTGTGAAAAAAAATAAAACATTATTACAGGATAATGGTCTGTAAGAAGGTGCCATCAATGTTTCTTAAATGGGGGGGGGGGGTGTGGGGTGTGGGGTCGCGCTTGTTCCAACGTGAATAGCTATATATAAATTGGGGGAGGTGTGTTGGGGGAGGGGAAGCAAAACTGATAGTTCGTCCCAAGTGCCGAATTGGGTCGATACGCCTATGAACTGGAGTACTTGTTAGAACTGAAGTTGCATCTGCCAGTAATTATATTTTTTAGTGCTTAAATGTTACAATTTTTTGTAGGTTTTCCTGAAAGTGGATAAATATTTTAAAAGAATATAAACTCGACATTATTTATTCAAAATCAAGCATTTCAAAGTAAATTATTTAAAAGATTAGCTTTATTGCGTTTAATTGACTTAATTAAAAATAAACCGGAAGTGATCTCCCCTAAACTTTCTCGAATATTCTAATATATCACTATGGGGGGTGGCAACTCGGGACATAGACAATATTTTAAATCCATTTTAAATACTTAAACTTTTTTTAAAAATAGAATAAAATCTCGTAGAAAAAAAAATTTCAACCAAGTGAACGCCAAATAAAATGTGCATAATAGTGCAGAATATTATTAGTACTTTATAAATTTACATGCGTTTTTTTGAGAAATCGTAAATAGGGTAAATTACTACTTCCGGTAAACGGAAATTACTCCTAATTTGATAGAAGGTAAAAAAATTAGATCTTTTACTTACAATTGAAATTTCATTTATCTATCTAAAATAGTATTCAAGTTATAGGCTTTTGAAAAATTCAAAGTAGAAAAAGTACCACTTCTGGTTATCGGAAATTGCTCAAAAATTAATACGTATCTACGATTTTGATAAAATACTTATATATGAAATGTCATCAACCTAGGTATAACGGTACTTAAGTTATCATGTTTACAGACACACATACATACACACACGGACATACGTACAAGATTGCAAAACTATGTTTTTTTCGACTCAGGGAGGTGTAAAACGTTGATATTTGTAAAAATCTCGATTTTCTTTTTTTGCACGTATACAAGACTTTCTCTATACTTCGTATATACGAGAAAGTAAAAAATTCAATATTGTATCTCGATGTGCTAGCTTGTTTTGCATATATACATATATATATATATATATATATATATATATATATATATATATATATATATATATATATATATATATATATATATATATATATATATATATAGCTAAGCTGTAATTAAATTAATCTTCAAAACAAGGTTTTAACCAATTACTTCAACGTCGAAATTTATTTAGACGAAAACTCGAACGTCAAATTAACGTATCTCATCGAAGATGTATAAAACAATGTTTACTTTCGAAAAATAAGCCAAAGGACGGAACACAAAACTAGTAATTTTCTTTTCTTTTACTTTCTCGTATATACGAATTATAGAGAAAGTCTTGTAATCGTGCAAAAAAATGTTTTTCCGACTCAGGGAAGTGTAAAACGTCGAGATTTGTAAAAATCTCGATTTTATTTCTTTGCACGAAGGCTAAATTTTGTTGGTGTCATTAAAATTAATAGAACTTTTAAAAGGTCACATGTGACGTCAGTATATGAAGGGATAGTGTGGTCAGACCCATAATCAGCCGAAATCGGTGTTTTTAAAAAAATAAAAAACGTCTTTTTGAATGTGGGGTTCGGTTATTTCGTGATGATAAGTCACCGACGTGATGTCATTTATAAATGACCCCCGAAACACAGTCATCCAAAGTATGACGGGTAAGTCTAGTATATATATATAACATGAGGAGGTTGAGGCAAACACATTTTGCAGTGGGGGAGGGGGGCTTTTTTTCTATTTTTGCAACTGATCAGTTTGTCCTTGTACTTGTGTAGAATTGTGCTGATGAATAATTGTTGTAATGTACTGATAAATAAACGTACAGTATTCTGTGTAAAATGTACTTTTTCTAAAACAAACGAAGTATTCTAGATGAGTTAAACCACCACAGTATGTAATAGTCGTTTCTTTTAACGGATTATGCTAATAAAATTGTAAAGTTTTTACTACGTAGTAATTTCAGCTCCCGTTTTATTTTAGGAAAATGTTTTCTGCACGTTATAGTGTACATCCAGTGACCACTTAGATAACATTTTCAACTGTGCTGGGATATCATGGTTAGTCAGCAATACTACCTCCCCCCCCCCCCCCCCCCCATTCCACCCTAACAACTTAAGTCGATTGTTTTGGGCTGCCCTAGACACGTATTTTGAAAACTAAAAGATCGATGAAAACACAATTTTGCTTGATTAACTCTTATAAATCAGCTGTCACAAATTTAATGAAACCAACTCAAACGTTTTTGAATATCACTGCTGGCAATACTAGTTTTTCCTTAAACCAAAATCGTTTAAAATCAGCTGTAAATGCTTAAAACTACAGATATACGGCAGCTGTTATAATTTGTTAATACAAATATTTCTGTTAAACCAGTGTGTGTATAAGTAACATCTGGAATTGTGTTGAAATAAATGAGTACATCTTGTAAACAAACGATAAAATCAATACATACAAAGGTTCTAACATTTTCAACATTCTATTTTCCATGCATTTATTTTACATATTTTTTAATCATGTGCTAAACATTTAAACCATTAAATCAGCATATGTCATTCAAACTCGGGATCTACTTAGTATGGGTTTCCAATCACAAATAAATATTGTTCAAGGCGTGTCAGTCATTAAATCTCTGGACAGAAAATGTAGAGTTATATAAAACACAATTTAAATGTTGGTGAGAATGTAGGACAGGTGCGGTGAACAGGGGTGGAACTACAGTGCCGCCAGACCCCGCAATGCGGGAAGGGGGGGGGGGGGGTTGGAGGGGGCAGGCCGTTTAGGGGCCCAAAGTCGACCATAAACAATATTATTTTTAAAATTTGAATTTTATCTTCATGCATTTTTGCCTTTACATTTGGTTTGTATAAGAAAAATACAGTAGCTGCGGTACGATTATCTTTATTTTACAGTCAATATACCACGTTCTTCCGCAATAATTAAAATCCATTACACAAACTGCACTATAAAATATTTGTCAAAACTTTAAATATTAATAAATTCTGTGACGTGTTGCTCCACTTTGATAGCCAAATAGAGGACACGTAACTGTTTGACCGATCCTCCAAAGTGTAATGAGGCGGATGGGGCAGGGGATGGGGACCAAATACGAGGCTCGAACATTTTCCTCAAATTTATTTATATATTAAAAAAAGTTATTTGTAGCTGTATTTTTTTTAACCATCGTAAGGCCGAGTTCTATTTCCCTACAATCAAACACGCTGTCGCCGGCAAAATTCTTTAAACAAAAAAAAAGTCCAAGCTAGAGAAGCCGCTAAATTTGAAGTGGGCTTTTGTGATGGGCGGTTCTTCTTTGCGGCATTGGTAAGGGACCCGAAATCCGTTGTACCTTTTTTTTAATGTTAATATGTGTTTGTGATATTGGTAGAATTTTTATCCTGTACTATCCTGTATTCTACAAATAATAAAAAAAGCATAAAAAATACTAGAAACTTTGGTTTTATAGGTTTACTTGTTTTTAATTTTACATGATATGCCATTGTAAATTTTTAGGGCCTATATTTTGAATGATCTCCCCCGAGTAAGTTTTATAATTGGCGATGCTGACGTACATAGGCGCTTTGTTGTCTCTTTCAAGTTTTTTCCCGAGCCGACCCCCATCCCATCCCTCTTTCTTAGCCCTCAAGTATCGAGTAG